CACTGTGCTAAAAGTAAAATGATAATCAGACAGCTAGGACAACTAAAATATACTCATTTTATCAAAATGGAAGACTTTAAAATTGTTGTCATTACTCAAAAGCCAAAATATCAGCTAGCTCACAATCCATGCAATGGTTTCATGGGATATAAATCAGATCAAAATTTTCACCCATTCAATGTAAGTGGTTAGAAATTTTCTTTTAGATTATCATATTTTGAGAAAAGCATCGATTTTAAAAATACAACTACATAATTTATATCAAACACAAGTAATTCCTAAGAAAAGCCTGTAATAATGTTTGCAAAGGAGCAAATTAAGAAGATGTATGCTTCATTGTCTTTGAATGTTGTGTCAGGCATATACAGTTTGAAAATGGGAAGTTTTGTAACACTATTCAGTAGGGACCCATCACCATCTTCTCAGAATTTGCAGAGCAGGTGCAGATGTTCTCCAGGTGGTACAGAGCCTGCATAATAGCTTTACATGACTCTCTTGCATGGTTCCTGATCTAGGGTCATGCTACGGGAGTGTCTGGGAAAAGAGGGAGAACAGATTGTGGTACAGCTGCGCTGTGATCTTACCAGTCTTGATTTGTGGAGCAGTTCATTAGAGGCTGTGAGAAATCACTGTAAATCAGAAAAGCCCATAGGGCTGGTCCAACTTATGCCTAGGACTGGGCACACAACCTGATAAGGCCAGAATTTAGGAGGTGCAAAATTGATGTAGGTGTCTCTCACCCTCACTGAATTTTTCCTTCTGAGAGGTGGAGTTGCTCCCTGACTGCTCAGAAGACATAACAGTTGGAAAAGAGAATCTGCTTTCTTTGCAAAGTAGTTGGCTTTGGAAACTTGCAAAATGTGGTCATATTTTCTTTAGAATCACTTCCTACAATGGCAGTGTTCTCATGCCCATCTTTCTTATTCCACCTTGATTTCATGGTCATTTAATCTGGTTTATGATTATGAGCCTGAGTGACAGGAGGGATACTACTGTTGTCCATAACTATGAAATAGAATAAGAAAAGAGAATTTGATAAGAAAAATAAGGATGTCAGTTTTGATTGTGTTAAGATGAGCTGGGCAGATGTGGTACATGCAGTACAGATTTATAAACAGTCTCTTGGGCAAATCAAGTTACTGTGAAGAAGTAATAAAATGGGAACATGCAAAATCTCTCATTCTTTTATTCAAAATACACATTGCAGGTAGATTATAGCTAAAACACAAGACACTATAGCCAAGATTTTATAAGTGATTAATAATTTTGGGTACCTAATCTGTGATACCTTAAAAGGGACTGCTTTTTTAAAGTGGTGAACATCCACTCTCTGAAAAATCAGGCATCTTAAAGGTATCTCAAAATGGGTGCCCAAGAATACTATTTTTTTAAAATACTGGCTGAAATGCATTCATTAATAGCCTAAAAATAAAAGATAATTTTATTACACACAGCACTGATATAAATAGACTGGGCCATTCAATATTATTTTCCAACATACATTTTATGAAAACTGAAAGTGTTCTCATTTCCATATTGCATGTTTGTTGTACAAATTAAAAAAATAAAGTTTTAAATTCAATTGTAATTATTACTGTAGTCATTTTATTGACATTATATGATGTAATGATTTTTCAATTTACACATATGAATAACCTGTGTTAAATTAATCATGTACGAGGGGAGAGATTTATGACCTTCATTTTCCTCTTGCTCATATCAATGTTAATCAGAAATAATTCTACTGAAGCCAATAGATACACCAAGATAATATTGAGATGAGCAGTGAATCAGGCCCTATTTTTAAGCAGCTTAATAAAGTACCCTAGTTTCAATTAATTAAGCAATTCAATACAAGATGCTCCTGTTTCTTTGATAGATTGCTTCATAGTGCTTTCAATGCTACCCTGAAAGTAACAATAAAGGCTTCAGAAATAAGAAATAGGGCCACAAGTCAACTATAAGTATGAGTACTCCAGCATTTCATTTTCCTGGCCTTGCACTGAGACCTAGTTATGCACAGGAAGCTTAATGCCATTAGCATCCTTGCAGGAGCTACAATTTAAAGATAATACATTTCAAATTGTTGCACTTAGAAATAGATCATACTATACCCACTCCTATTTCCGTGGAAGTCAGTGGCCAACTGTTAGCATTGTACAGAATTAAATTACAAGAAATTGAACAGAATGGGCCAATTTCATCCCATGGAATAAGTGCACTGAAGTCAGGCCCTTCTTTTAGGGCCTGATCCAAAATCCATTGAAATCAAAAGGAAGTGCTTCCATTAACATCATTCAATATTGCTCAGCAATCATTTCAGATTTTAAAAGTGGCAGTAATAGGATATCTGCACAGTTTAAAAAACTTCTTTCACACCATATACATTGATTTGGTGTTTCATGAGCTGCAGAAGGAAGTTGTGTTAAAGGAAGCATCATGTGAAAACAAAGGTTCACGAAACCTGAAGAAAATTCTAAGTGTGAGTGAAATGTGTATGTTGAAGGTGTGTGTGGGGAGGATGGGGGGAGCATAGAGGAAGATTCAATAAAAACATGGTGGCGATGACAGTTCTGTTAATGCAGCCTTAGGTTCATAGTTGATCCTCTTTACTGCAAATTTAAATAAAAAAGATGTAACATGTATTCAGAATATTGCCATATGCTATAATAGTAAGAAAGAAAGCCCTTAACCAATACCACATAATAAGTATATGTTCATGTGTACAAAAATAAATTCTCATTTAAATAAAAAAACTGGATAATATATGAATGTTGGATTTTCTAGCAGACCAAAAGATCTCAGGCAACCAGATGTTCTTTTGGATTGGTTTGCAATTATTTACTTAAACTCCTGTGCATATCAGTGATGGAAAATTGGTTCGTGTTGTCCCAGAGCACAGTTTTTAATGCAAATAACCTTTTCAGTTAAACATATATAATGCGGTACTTTGGGAGTAATGATTTTAAAGAATATTGTGTAAATATTAAGCTCTTTCACTGTAATCTTAGTGTCCCAATGCCAACATGTTGTCCCAAATAATACATTATCTCCAAAATCCATATTGAAAGGAGTAAGTCACTGTTAAAACATCAAATGACGTCCACAGATGCTGTAGCATTAAAACACTAATGTATAGCAATAGCCCTATGAATGTTAAGATCATTTGCAAATCCTGTTCACTAAATTCATTTTTGTATTGGAACATAAATCAAAATGAAGAAAATAAACCCCCACAATTCCCAATAGTCACAAAAGACTGATGGTGAAAACACAGTAATCATGTGCAATTAGAGATAACACTGTTTTTTCCAACAGAAACAGATTTTTATCATAGCATCATATATATATATATCACTATGATCTACTTCTCAGTCAGGAAAGGAAAATGCTTCTCAGAGTAGTGTGTATGTGTTGGCAAGGGCAGATGATAATATGTGTATGTACTGAAGTGCATAGATGGTGATGGTAGGGGGATGATGTCGGTATGTGTTTTGTTTGTTGAAGTGGATGAATGTGTATAAATGTGGTTTGTGTGCTGGAATAGGTAGGTGCTGATAATATGCATGCAAGAAAGTTAGATGGTAGTACGGGTGAGAGTGTGCATTTGTGTAGTAATGAGTATGGTGTTTGCATCTGGGATGCACATGATAGTAATCTATGTGTGTCTATGTGGGTAAGTGGTGGTAATGTGAGTGTAGTAGCAGGAGGAGGAAAATGTGGTGGTGGGTGAGGTATTGATGGAATGGTTGGTAAGTGGTGTGTATTTGTGTAGTGGGTAACAAATGGTGTGTGTGCAATAGTATTATGACATGTCAGGTGGCAATAGAAAGGGCAGGTGGTGATGTATAGTGGAACAGTGTGTGTGTGTATACAGGTCAAGTGACCAACAGGTTTTGCCGGGCCTTGGGCAAGGTGAGAGAGGACCTGGCTCTGGACTGCCAGAAGGGGGCGAGGCCTTGGGCCAAATGGGAGGGGCTGTGAGCTAGCCTCCCCCAGCCAGTCTTCAGCACTGCCTGATGTGCACCGCCCAGGCTCCGGTGGTAATTTAAAGGGCCCGGGGCTGTAGTAGCCCCAGGCCCTTTTAAGTCACTGAGTCCCCAAGGTAGCTGTCCCTTTTCTACCCTCACCCCTGCTGGCTGGCCTAGTACAAGTAACAGAGTGAGTATGTGTTGGTGTGCGGTGGAGGTGTAGGAACAGGGTGTGTGGAGGGGGGTGTCAGATGGTGGCAGTGTGTATAAGGGCAGATTGTGTGTGGATGTGCTGGTGGCAAGATAGGTGTATGGAGGTAGTGCAGTGTATAGGGCCAGGGTGTGTGTGTGGACGTGCTGGTGGTGGAGGTGATGTGCTGTGTGTATATATGCGTAGGGGCAGGATGTGTATGACACTGGACAGTGTGTGTGTGTGTGCGTGCGAGTAGATGCTGGTGGCACTGTGTATCAGGAGAGGGTGTATAAAGATGGTGAAGTGTGTAGAGGCAGAGTGTGTGGCAAGGTGTGCTAATGGTGCTATGTGTGGTGTTGCTGTGTCTAGGGGCATGGAGTGGATGTGATGGAGAAGCTGTGTGGAAGTGGGACTATGGGTAGGATGTGTGTCAGTGTTGTGTGCAGGGAAATGGTGTGTGAATAGGCGCAAAGTGTGGGGATACTGGGTGTGGCACTGCGTGCAGGGGCAGGGTGTCTGTGGCGGTAATGTGTGCCAGTGTGTGTGGTTGGCACTGTGTATATATACAGGGGTAGGGTGTGTGGTGGCATTGTACGAAGGAGCAGGATGTGCATGGTGGCACTGTGCACAGGGGCACTGTGTGTGTTGGCTCTGTGTGCAGGGGGAAGGGGATGTGTGGTAGTGCTTAGTGCAGGGGCACAGTGTGTGTGGTTGGCACTGTGTATGGTGGTGATGTGTGCAGGGGTAGGATGTGTGTGGTGGCGCTGTGTGTGAGGGCAGGGTGTGTGTGGTGCCACTGTGCACAGGGGTAGGGTGTGTCCCGTGTCTGTGCGCAGGGGGAGGGTATGTGTGGTAATTCTTAGAACAAGGGCAGGATGTGTGCAGGGGTATGGTGCGTGTGGTTGGCACTGTGTGTGGTGGCGCTGTGTGCAGGGGCAGGGTGTGTGTGGTGGGTGTGGTAATTCTTAGAACAAGGGCAGGATGTGTGCAGGGGTATGGTGCGTGTGGTTGGCACTGTGTGTGGTGGCGCTGTGTGCAGGGGCAGGGTGTGTGTGGTGGCGCTGTGCAGCGGGGCAGGGTGTGTGTGGTGGTGCTGTGCGCAGGGGCAGATGTGGTGGTGCTGGCGCAAGGGCAGTGTGCGCGGTGGCTCTGTGTGCAGGGGCAGGAGGCGTGTGTGGGCAGGGGCCGTTGTGGGGCGCTGGTCCTGGCTCCTGGCTGCGGGCTCTCTGTGTCCTACGAGCAGGGCTGGTGCCCGAGGCTTGGAGCGGGAGGCCCAGCTCGCCCCCTGGCCAGGCGGCGGCTCCCGGCAAGTGGCCGCGGGCGGGAGCTGAGCACTGTGGAGCGGGGCGGGGGCTCTCGGGGCCGGGCGGGAAGGACACCCACCTACGTCGCCTTGTGGCGGGCTTTTCCCCTCCTCCTTTTCGTCGCTGCTGACGCGCCGCTGCCTATTAATCATTCTCCAGCCAGAGAGCGGCAATTAGCGCCGCTCGGCTCGGCGGTGGCAGCCTCCTCCCCCCCATGCCAGCCTCGGGCGGGAGAGCTCGGCGCGGCTCCGCCAGGATGCCGAGCCGGGCGGGCGGCCAGCGCCGGCTGCTCTGAACCCGCGGGAGGGGAGGGAGGGAGGGCTGGGCAGAGGATGCTCCCCAATGGCACCTGCCCCAGGCTCCCGGGCGGTGCAGGGGGAGGCAGCGGCAGTAGCGGCGGCGGGAGCGGAGGGAGCTGCAGTGGCTGCAGCGCCGGCGGGGTCCTGGAGGAGGCAGCGGCCGGGGGCATGGACTCGGGCGGCAGAAACTCCTCCGGCGCCCCGAACGGCACCCTGAGCGAGTCGCAAGGCAGCGCCATCCTCATCTCCTTCATCTACTCGGTGGTGTGCCTGGTGGGGCTGTGCGGCAACTCCATGGTCATCTACGTGATCTTGCGCTACGCCAAGATGAAGACGGCCACCAACATCTACATCCTTAACCTGGCCATCGCCGACGAGCTGCTGATGCTCAGCGTGCCCTTCCTGGTCACCTCCACCCTGCTGCACCACTGGCCCTTCGGCTCGCTGCTCTGCCGCCTGGTGCTCAGCGTGGACGCCATCAACATGTTCACCAGCATCTACTGCCTGACGGTGCTCAGCGTGGACCGTTACGTCGCCGTGGTGCACCCCATCAAGGCGGCCCGCTACCGCCGGCCCACCGTGGCCAAGATGGTCAATCTAGGCGTCTGGGTGCTCTCCATCCTCATCATCTTGCCCATCATCATCTTCTCCAACACGGCGCCCAACAGCGACGGCACGGTGGCATGCAACATGCTCATGCCCGAGCCCACCCAGCGCTGGCTGGTGGTCTTCGTGCTCTACACCTTCCTGATGGGCTTCCTGCTGCCCGTGGTGGCCATCTGCCTCTGCTACATCCTCATCATCGCCAAGATGCGCATGGTGGCGCTCAAGGCCGGCTGGCAGCAGCGCAAGCGCTCCGAGCGGAAGATCACCCTCATGGTCATGATGGTGGTGATGGTCTTCGTCATCTGCTGGATGCCCTTCTACATCGTGCAGCTGGTCAACGTCTTCGTGGACCAGGACGACGCCACCATCAGCCAGCTGTCGGTCATCCTAGGCTACGCCAATAGCTGCGCCAACCCCATCCTCTACGGCTTCCTCTCGGACAACTTCAAGAGATCCTTCCAGCGGCTTTTGTGCCTCAGCTGGATGGACAACGCCACTGAGGAGCCCGTCGATTACTACGCCACCGCCCTGAAGAGCAGGGCGTACAGCGTGGAGGACTTTCCCCCTGACAACTTGGAATCGGGAAGCGTGTACAGGAACGGCACTTGCACCTCCAGGATTACCACCCTCTGAGGAAGCGCGCAGCCGCCGCCCCCGCAGGCGCAAGGCAGCCGGGGACTGCGGGCTGAGGGTGGTAGGGTCTGGAGGGGGTGTTAGCTTCTGTTTGGAAACAACAGAGTTGGGCACGAAAAGGGAAGGACACCTTATTCCCTGGCCGGCTGCCCTTCACCCCGCCCCCTCTGTATTTCAGTTGCGTTGTGTTTGCTGATGCTACTACACCCCTAGTCAATTATTAACGGTGTGCCCCTCAGATGGACTTTAGGTTCCTCGCCCCGTCGCTTCCTCCCCGTTGTGTCTGATCAGCGTGTGTGTGGGTCAGTGAGGTCTCTTGTTGACTTTGTTTATTTTAGTACTTGTGTCCTCCTCTCGTCCCCTCCCCCCCGTCCCCCTTGGTTCCCTTGCCATTATGGTGGCACATCTCTGTGCTGCTCTTTTCAGGGTCGTGTTGCTCGGTGTCTAATTGATCCAGTCCTGTGGAAGGCAGGTACACTGCTGGCAGCAGACTTTGCCCCTGTGCCTTGGAAGCCATAAAACATGAGGGGATGCTCTGTCAAAAGCTAGGAAATCGCTCAGTTTCCATGCCACAGATTAACTCGCTCCCTCTGCCGAAACCACTACTGACTGGAAAATTACTGCAAAAGGAGACCGGATTTCTGGTCAGAGTAGACACAGGAAAGGTCCCCTTTCACCCAGCTACAGAGAAAGAGCAAACAAACCTTCATCCCCCACAACGGAGAGAAAAGCTTCTACCGTACAACAGTGGCAAACTCATGAAGTCATATTTCAAGTAGGGGCACAACATAACACAACATAACTCCAGCAAGAGTTCTCTTTCTGTCTCTCTCTCGGGTAAGGATGTGAAAAGACAACGGGGGGAGAGAGAACCACTAGAGGGGACTTCCATTGAGATTTAGCATTCAGTGGCACTCGTGGGGAGAGGGGGAGGCTGGAAATGGGAACGAAAAGGCCTCCTAAGAAAGAAATGCGATTATTTCATTATCTCAGAGCTGCCCAGCAGGGCTGATAAGAGATACACAGACCCGTGACTCGCATGTAGCAGGGTATTGGACGCGGGGCGGGGGTGGGGAGGTTGATGTTTGAACTGGGAAATATTTGGCTGTGTGGGTACATATAATAAAGGTGTGCAAATAATAAAGTTTAAAGGGAGCACTAGGCTGCGAAGCTATTAGCCGGCGAGTGTTGCGCTCACCGTGAAACAACCCACAAGGAATAAAAAAGACGCAAACTATGAACTGAGACAAAAGCAGGACAGTCCACTTGGCCGTTTTTGCAGTTTGAATCACCTAGACTAAGGAAAGTTTATTGCAGATCCTTCATCGAGCTTTGAAATAAATATGCGCCTGTCAGTTCAACAGTAGCATTACCTAGCTCCACTTCGCACCTCTCCTAAACTAAACGGGGTTTAGGTATCAACAATGTAATCTACATTCCCGGAGATTCACTATATGTTTGATTTTGATTGTTGTTATGTATGTGCTTAATATATTGTTTGATTTCTCTGTATTTTTTGTTGTTACCGTGTTGTGAAAACGTTCTCTTTGAAGCAGTTTATTCTATGTACTCAAGTCTTGGCGGCCACATACAAAGGGGTGCAGTTTAAAAGGGTGATGTTCCTTTTAGGAGAAAAAGATAACCTTTTTCTAGGCTTTCTTTTTCCATTATTTCTCCACGACAATTCTTTTTCCTGTCTTTTCGCACCTTGTTCGTGCACTTTTTGGAATATTTTTTCTAATAGAAAAACAGTGTTTTCCTATTTGATAAATGCTGGTGGCTAAAGCAAAAAAAAAAAAAATCCAAGATTTCTCTTCTCCCTTTAAAGATTATCCCAAACTAAACATACAGTAAAGATTGTGGGGACACAAGCAATTCTGTTGTCTGTTCTTTATTGAGTTCCTTAAAATAGAACTAATATCTAGACTCTGGGCAAATCAGACTCTTTTAGCAAATTATCTCTGTAGCATAATGCTAAGAATTATGTGAACCATAACTACTAGAGATCAGAAGCAAAGGAGAAAAAACCCTACAACACCAGTAAACTTGAGTAATCTAGCAGCTAATAGGCAATGAGTCCAAACAGCATTAATATTTAACTTTAAGGTGTCTAGCTCTTTCCGGGGCTCCTATAGGTTCTCCATAAACTGTAGCATGAACTTTTCTTTGGAACAAAAAACATCAGGCCATTTTGTAAATCTTTCCCACCAAAACATCAGACATTGTCAATGTGAATGTATAAATTCTAGTATCTCAGCCATTGAAGTGAATGGAAACTCTCCAACTGATTTCACTGGGGCTCTGGCTCATCCCTTTTTAGTTAAAAATAATCGCTAATGTGGAAACTGTTACATCCTTACTAAAACATTTGTTGAAAGCTTTTAAATCTGTATGTTTCCTGTTCCTTTTTAGGGGACCAGTCTTTTTTTAAGGGACCTTCACATAATTGTTAAGGTAATTACTAATTTTACCTCGTTTTATACTAAGATTTCTCTCTCTTAAAACCTTTACTAACATTTCACTGAAGACAGGCATTGTATTATTCAAACCAGACTCAAACTACAGGGTGCCATGTTTACATTTTTAGCACTTCATTTCAAACCGTGATCATTGTTTCCTTAAAAAGATAACAATCCAGTGCTTTTATACTATCACTTTATCCAGCAATACTGTAATGCAGTGTTAGCTTAATAAATAGATATATTAAACAGTACTGTGCAATCTACTTTTTACTGTTTTTCTGCAATTAATAGGGTTTTTAAATAGTATAAAATTAGTACCCAGCTTTGATGAGACATTAAGCAAATGTCTGTGTCATTTGGCTTCATGCAAAGATACTGGAACGTGTGACATCCATACCTTTAATTCTTCAGACATACCAATTTGTGCGCTCTGATTTCATTTCTCCCATGCTAAGTAAAGTCAAATTGTTCTAACACTCAGCTGGGAGATCGCCCAGAGTATCTAGTTGCACAGTGAAACATATATTCTTTCCTACTGGTCATAACAAATTAATTTAGTAAACAGTCATCTTGGTGCTAGGGTCACCAGTTAAAGCACTGTGTTGTATCCAGTTGGAACAACATTCTTCATTGCTTATCCTGAGCTAATGTGTGGTGCTGCCATTTTTCATCTTGAATGTGGCTACCCTCTGGTAGTAGGTGAAATGATCAAAAGTTGTATAGCATTATAGTTTTGCTGCAGAAAGGAAGGGTAATCCAATAAAACTATTCCAAATAACTGAGTAACTGAGAAAAGAGGTGCCTTCAGAACTGATGTGAAATGTATAAAAACAAAGTATTTTCAATGCTTTGCAAATTTCAAATAAAAGTTGTTCACATTGCATATGAAAAGGATTCAAATAACTTCTTGTCTTCAGTAACAACTGAAGAAAGCATTTACCTGAAATATTTCTCTGCATCATTTTTCTTAGACATAACCCACTTTATCCACAAAAAGCATAAGTTCTATTTACAATCGAGAGGGAATATATTTGTATTTGTCTAACATAACAGAAGTTTCGTACTAATATATGTTAGCACTGGATCTGACCTTGCACCATTGACTTCAATATGACTATGTCTACAAAACAGCATTATTTCAGAATAACTTCCAAAATAACATAGTTTCCGTCTACACAGCAAGATAATGTGGAGCTGGAGGACTTCTCACTCCATCTCTTGTAACCCTCATTGTGTGAGGAATAAGGGAAGTCAGAGGAAGAGTGCTCTACCTCGAACTTCCTGCTAAGTAGACAGCACCAAAGCTGAAATAAGCCATTTTGACTTAAGCTAGGTAATTGATGTAGCTCAAGTTACATAGCTTATTTTGGCTATAGTCCTGCTGTGTAGACATGCTAAATAAGTCTACAGTAGTGGTGCAGGATAAGGCCCATATAAACATGAGTGGTGCAGGCCCCCATCGGTTGGCGCCCCAGGCAGCTTTCTCAGTAGCACTTTTAGCACTTGCTTTGGTGCGGCTAATTTGAACTAACTGACCTGCAGGCAGGGCAGGCCCAAGCCATGTTGGTGTCTCGGGCCTGGGCGCACGGCACCGCCCCTAGGGTGCACGGCGCATGCGCAGGCCAGCCACAGCCACTGGTGCACAGCCCGGGGCCTGCCCCCGTGGCGCACGGCACATGCACTGCCCGGCCAAGTCTGGCCACCGCAGCTGGCGCGCGCACCAGGCCATGGGGGGAAGGGAGCTGCTGGACGGATTGGAGGAGGGGGCCCCGCCCCTTACAGCTGCCATCAGGTGCCCCCCCATCGGTTGGCGCCCCAGGCAGCTGCCCGGCTTGCCCACCCCTCAGTCTGGCCCTTCCTCCGGAAGGCCTCCTGCTGTTCCCCAGATTTGCTTCCTGGGGCTCTGAGTCTGAAATAGTGCATCCACATTCACAAAGCCTGCCTCAAACTAATTTCAATGCTTCCCCATAGTGAGGACACCAAGTACGAATTTGTTAAATCAGGAGTTCTTAAATCAAATTTAGTAATTTCGAAATAATTTTCTGGTGTAGACATGGCCCTGGAGCATGGGATCTTAGCATAGACTTCCTCCCACAGAGCCCATCCCATGGATTTTTCCATGGAAGGAAAAGAGTTGCTACAGTATCAATGTTTTGAATATGACACATTCATATTTAAAATGCCATTTCTACACCATACCTAGATATAATAGACTCAGAAAATCATTTTTAAAAAAGGGATGTCTATAGTTCTAGTGTCTTGATAATAGTACAACCATGTGCCTGTCTGGCATACTATAGCAGCCAGTCTCCAACAACATGCACATTTTAACTCCAAAAGTTTGGGCCAAATCTTGTTCACATTCCTGAAATCAATTGGCCTCTGTGAGAAAGGCAAGCAAAATTTGGCTTTGCAACACCACTTTCCCAATAAAACAAAGCATAATGTAAAGGTACCTTAAAATCTCACCAACATAAAAAAGCATCCAGACAAAAACCAAAAAAAACCCAGGGTCAAGGAATTCTCTCCATTTTGTGTACGCACTCACACACACACGGATCATTATGTTATTCAGCCTCTGGGATTTCCAACTATTAGAAGCCTTACCACGCTCCAGGACTCTGCAGTTTAAAATGTCAGTCATGAATCACCCCAGAGAAAGATAAAATATCTCCACAGTATTTTCAGCATTGTTATGTCTCTGGAGACCTGGACCACAATAAGAAACAATTAGATTTCCCTCATAGAACAAAACATTTCAGCATAATTATATTTTGGAGATAAAAGTAGTCAAGAAGAATGAGGGAAACAGGAAGCATATCAAAGTACTCCTCATTACATTAACTATTTTAAATCTAATTAAACGTTCAACATGAAGTTGTAGTTGCCCAACAAAAGCTAGGAAACCCCCCCAATCATTTAAAATCTGTTTTGACAAAGAAGTTACCATGAATGTGATACAACCCGAAGAAAAGGATGCTGATCAAGGTGATGGCATAACTGTAGTATTTGCTTTCATCTTGAAATGTAGATAGTCTCTCCCTGCAAGACTTGATTGAGTACATTATGCTCATCTTGTATGTGCATTCTAACATGTAGTTAAGTTGAGGCTGTTTTCAGTACATTGGAAGCCAATGTTCATCTCTACTGTTCAGGTTCATCATTTCAAGCTCCTCACCAAGGTTTCTAAGCTTCACTATAGAGCTATTGCATTTCCTAACCCTAGTGGAATTGGACGCGTCAAAGTTGGTAGTGTTTGTCAATTGCAAAAGCAAGGGTAACAATTAGCTTTCTGAATCAGGTTTAAATGGTCATCATGATAACCACAGGACTATCCTCAGATGGTTATTGGCTTAGTTTACACTGCTGACCACACTCTTGATCTATCATTTAGTTTGGGTTTGGAGAGGAAGTGTTTGAAAATTATGGGCCTGATTTTCAAGAGACTCTGACTGCACTGCCATCTCTAATCAATGCCAGTGAGAGCTGCAGATGTTCAACAATCCTGAAAATCATGTCCTACAATCATTGCAAGGACCAATCACTGCTATCTTCAATTTGATAATAGGGTGCTTATTTTCTCTTTGGGTGAAGGAACTGCTTTAAGGCTCTACTTTTGAAAACTAAGGGAACCTGTTTGCAAAAATACTAGCTTAGTTGCTAATGTATTTATTTGTTAGAGAGCACTGTAATGAAATGAAAAAGGTGTAATGTTTCTCAGGTTGCCAAGTAAGGCTCAAAGGGAGTGTTAGCTGGATGAAATGTGCAAAATAAAATCCTGTTTGGAATCACCTATAATCAAGCAGTGACCAGCCATGAATAAAAGGAAAATGCAGAATACACTGATTTTTTGAGTATAAAAAAAATCAATAGCACCATTAATCATTTTCTTTTCCTAGCATCATTGCAGATTTATTTTGCAGATGATCTGACTGAAGCCACAGGGAGAGCAAAAAAACCAAGCTGGATTAAAAATTTTATTAAATAGCTCCATTCAAGAGTTTCTGATTCCTTCTGGAAGAACCAGAGCAACATTCTATTTAAAACATGTCTTTTATAGCTTAGGTTCTTTAGTTTCTTCTGGGTGTTTTTGTTCATTTAAAAATCTCTATTAAAAGCTTCCTGTTCACAGCATAAGGAGAAGGCACCGGTCCCTCAACTGATGTAAATTATTGATGTCAATAGAGCTACACTAATTTACAGTATCTGAGGCTCTCACTACTGATTGCTGCCCCAAAGAGCTTGCCATCTAAACTCATCATACCACAAGAGATGCAGAGAGGAATCCAGAGAATGAGGGCACTTGCATAGTACAGTACATGTCATGTTAATTCATAGC